GATATTTTAATTAGTGAATTATCATCTCAACAAGATCCATTGATAAATGAGTAAGATTATCCACCTATTTAATTTCCTAGTATCTATATTCACAAAATGAAATTGTAAGGTATTTTTATCTTAAATGAAAAATCTATAGCTTGAAAATCTTGTCAACATAACCTGCCTCCCTGATCCTTTACTGCGAAAAAATAAATGATAAATTTTGTGTGGCAACAGGAGGAAAGGAGTATGAGAACGGTCATGGTACGAACAACCTCAGAGAATGAGAGATTCAGCTCCTTCCTGTCCCTACCCACCCACTCCTGGAATCTCTTCCAGAATGTCAGGCTACATCTCCTAGAGATTCAAAGGAAACAAATACAGAATCTGTCCCGAATTTAAAAATGCCACCCAGAAATGCTATCAAAACTACCTTCACCTAAGCGAACCAAGGCAGCTGGCATGGCTGAACAGAGCAAATCCTCAATGCTGACCACCCATATACAACTGGGTAAACTTCACAGTTCATTGCCTGGAAACAATACAGCCTTTTGAGCACTGTGTTTGACTAGATGGCCCAAGCCCATCATAGTGTCAACTGTTGACTCAGAAGTCAGCATAAGTTTCTAATGGGAGAGTAAGATACTTTGGGAAAGGAATTTCAGTCTTCATGTTTCTAGGAAACACTGTGTCCTAAATTAGGCAGTCAGAGTGGAATGCCAGGCAAAAAAGTTCCCCCTCCTATTTAATTATTATCTCTCTTTTTTAAAATTTGTTTTTGTGAGGAGCCCTGACAATTCAATTTGCATATGTTTCATGCAAATATAATGTAGCTTCAATGTAGCTGAAGACTCCTATAAACAGGAGGGTTGGCAAAATGCTGGGGTCACCTGGTAAAAGAACCTGTAGACCTTATCTTCTTTCTAGGGAGCTCTGAAGATAGGACAAAGACATATGAGAGTCAGGCAGGGTTGTCCTATATGTAAATCATCCAAGGACAAACTGCAGAACAATTCAGGGGATCAAAAAGATGCTCTTTATTGCAAGACAAACAGACCTACAATAAGAACTTCTAGAGCTGGAGACTACAAACAGCAATAAGTGAGAAACTTGTTGGACTTCAGAGAAGGCATAACTAGTAAACAAGAATTACAAAATTAATTATAATTATTAATTATAACTCAGATTTGGGAGTCCTGCCACTAAGCAAATGCCTTTGCAGTATTTACTTAAAATCATAAATTCTAATGTATGCTCACAAGACACTTGAGAGAAATTAATAAAATCAAAAGCTTATCAATAGTGTGAGCAAATACATTTGAATTATTTCTTTAAAAAACAGACAAGATGGGCCCTTCCTGGTGGCGCAGAGGGTTAAAGCACAACACTGAAAAGCTAAAGCCGCTTCCGCATGAGTTCGATTCCCGCCTGCCCCGGAGGTGACCACATGGCCTGGCAGACCTCTCCTGACCCGCCCGCTGCTCCCCTCAGCAGTGTACTTCGTCGATCTGTCCTTCCCCACTCTGTCCCTGGTGAATCCTCTCAACCTCCGCATCTCTGGACTGTACCCCAGTTCTGTATGAATAAATAAATAAATCTTAAAAAAAAAAAAAACAGACAAGATGCAGGAAAATAATCTTCATGGCTATATTTTAATTAGAAAAACATGTTGAATAAAAACCAAATGCTGAACTACATTTCTGGTAAATTTTCTTTCACATGCAGTCTGTCCCTCAACAGACTTTAAAAAGGTGCTCCCAGTTCTGGAAACATCAGATTAAGGTTAATGGAAATACTCAGCAATAAGAAGAGAGGGGAGGATTGCACCTCATGAAAACCAGAGCTAGTTAAGGCTTTGCCCATTTCCATCTTAACTAAATCAAATGTTTTAAGTGATGCAATACTCTGTAAAGAAGACATATCATGCTTCTCAAGCCAATGTTACTGGGACAGGAATTATTTTATTCATTTTATGATGGAAATATGGTATTTTGTTAATTTCACTTTGGAATCAGAACTAACCCACAGCAAAAAAAAAAAAAAATTACTTGTAAAATAGGAAAAGAATGGATAAAAATGATCTAAACAAGCAACAGAAGAAATTGTGGGTCCACTTTGGGCTTTTGAAACTTCCCTAAAGAAAATCTTATATTTCTTGAGTGCCATTTCACTTGTAAGGCACTTCTTTGCTCATGCTGGCTATGAAAGAGACAGCCTGTTTTTTCTGCATTCAACCAGATGAGAACAGAGGTTATAAGGCATCCCCTAGGACTATGGTCAGCAAATTACAGAACACCTACTAAATTCATTTAAGGCCTGTTTTGTTAGGCCCATGAGTGAGAAATCACTGTTACATTTTGCAAATTGAGTTTGCCAGTGAGTACCACTTGTTCATTTGTAAATTGCTTTTGCCCTGTAACATTAGAACTAAATAGTGTCAACAGAGACTATAAAGCCCCTAGAGCCAGAATATTTCCTCTTTGGATTTTGATGGAAAAAAGAGTGTTGATTCCTCTTTGAGGCCCATGGGGGAGCCATGAAGAGTCCATAGTTTGGGGAACAAATTCAATGTTCTTTCCAATCTTGGTTCACCCCAGTAATGTCTGAGAGATAAAAGGAAGTTTATGAAACATGAATGTAGGTTCCTGAAGTAGAAACAGAAGGCACTGAGACTGGAGCCAGAAACAGCAAACAAGTAAGAGAAAAGATATATAATTGTCTTGTTTCCTAGCTTCACAGGTCTGGGAAATAAGAGAACTTCTGCTCTAGGACAGATCACAGCCAGAGTCTCACCCATAACTGAGTTAGATTTGGGAGCTTCTAAGCTGATGTTGGAATGAGTTTAGACCTGTAGGGATACTGAAGTGGGGTGGATTGATTTTGCTCATGGAATGAACATGATCAGAATCTAGAGGGCAGACAGACTGGGTTAAATAGTGTCCCCTGAAATGCAGGTAGACCCCAAGCCTCAAAAAGTAACTATTTGAAAATGGGATTTTTGTAGAGGAAATCACATTATGGTGAGGTCATACTGGCTTAAGAGTGGGCCCTTATAAGACAAGTGAAGTCTGAACCATGAACACTGGGAAGAACTCTACATAAAGACAGAAGCAGGGAGCAGAGAAATGGGCAGCAGAATCTAGAACAAAGGCTCACTCAGAGCTGCCAGGCAGAATAACATGACCATGATTTTTGGTCTCTAGTCTCTAGAACTGTGAAGAGTAAATTTCTATTTAAGTCATCTAGTTTGAGGTAGTTTATATGGCAGCTACAGAAACTAGTGCAGGCTAGTGGGGACATGGTCTTATGAAGAACTATAATCAAGAGATAAGGAGAAAGTGGTAGAATGTCAGTACTTCATAAGACCTGTGTAAAATACAAATTGCGACCCTCCAGAAGTTAAGGGAAAACAAAACACAAACCCAGATATCTTGATCATTAAACTGATTGGACTGCACAAACATGTTGCCATGGTAAGCATAATGGACTTACAATGGAACATTTTCTTCCCAATCTGTTAACAAATCCATCCCTAAATTCCAAACTTTCCACAGTCACCCCACTCTGACTAGGCAACGAAGTACATTTTTCAATAGATGAGACCTCGGTTGCCCACTTCAGGTCAAGGCCGTTTGGCTGGACACTTACATTAGGGAGTGGGTAATTTGTGGCGTTCATTGGGAAGCTTATGTGTATTCCTTTCTTCTCTCTATGCACACCAATTCTATTAAAAAGAAAAAACCTTTCATACTAATAGCCTGCTTCCTTTGCCTCTGTGTGCACGGATTGCTGGACCCCTTGTGGAACATCACTCCTTAACAGCTTAGGATTCTGGATACCCCATGGTCGCACACCAACACTGACAGAAGATGTACTAAGGGCTAATCTGCCCCCCCACACACACACATATTTTTCAGCATTACATTGCTGAAGGTTGAAGCTATAGGCAAGATGCATTCCCACAGTTCTCTACAAGGCAGTAGACGTAAGATTGCAGACATAATGCAAAAATGACTCAAACTTGGTACACACTGCTTTCCTATGTAATCTTATCACAAATATTAAAAATGTAGATCATTTGATTACTGTGAAACTATTTATCTATATCACCTATATATACATCTATGTAAATATATACATTATATACCTAAACACAGATGCATGACTTCAACATAGTTAGCCTTCTAAGCCCCATGCATTCTGGCATTTTAACGATACGTTCTTTTCAACAGATCTACAAGTCTCATCTTAGACTCCTCTTTATCATGTCATATGATAGCTTGTATAAATTTTTAAAAATAAACTCAATTTCAAATCTAGATTCTTATCACAGTGTTTTCCTATGAACTTGCATTCCAATATACATATAAAATGTTATCTGCCTCTTCCTCTCACCCTTCTGTCTCATTTTTTATGTATTTCAAAGAACTGGTGGTGATAGGAAGCACATGCCCGTGGACGCTGTCACTGTATGACAGAACACTGCTAGTTGCAACAAGACTGCTCTCATGAACTATCCCGAGCTGCCCCCACAAAGGGCTCGCTCCCAAAATAAACAAACAAAACCCACTGTCTTCTCTGAGTAGTCTCAAAGCATTTGTGAAAATAATTCCAAAGACTGTGAAGAGTTGGCCATTGTAACCCCCCCACCCCGCAAAGTCTTCATTGTTTCAAATGAAAATCTTAACCGGCTATCTTAGCTGAAAGACACAATACAAATGCCTTCCGCTTCTCAGCACCTGAAAACGCAGCCCCTGACTGTCCATGAGTCAAATGGCCACATACCGAGTAGCATCACAAGCGTCCACAAATGGTCTCCTGCAGAAAAGTAGCAGGACCAGGGAAATCCCCCACTCCCCTCCAGAAGATCTCCACCCCGAATTTGATCTGGGCCCAACAGCTGTTTTTGGTTACTGAGCAAAGTGCTCACTAAAATATTTTTGTTTAAAGACAGATGCTCACCACAGTACCAGAAAGCATGCATCCACACACAGGGCCGACAGCTCTTGGCACCTTACCTCATTCTGCTCACACACATACTGTATCCTCAGAGTGTCCATGGCTCTGATCATGGCTTGCATGGCAGTGAATATGTTTTGGTAAACCAACTTTGTGAATCCCTTTCGGTCTTCATCGCTGTATCCACACCCATGGATAATTCTCATTTGCTTGATAAAGGTGCTTTTGCCACTTTCCCCAGTTCCTAGAAAACAAATAAGCAAAAAGCACAGTCAGCATTCTTCAAAAGGGATACCCTGAGAAAGAAAGACCTCTTGGCAGTGTTGGTCCATACTAACTAGTCGGTGGGTAGGCTTGGGAAGGCCCTGCCAGTGCATTGGGCAGTTTTAGGTCACAAGGTAAGAGCAGCCTAAATCCAGTAATCCTAAACATCAGCTCTCTTCCAAGAGTCAACTAAGTCCAATGACATGAGGACTGTTCAAAATTAAAGTGACTCAAGAAAAGTCACTTAACGTTGTTGAGGCCCCACCAAATTGTTCCCCACCCCTTTCCTGGAGTCCTGAAAACAACGAGCAATTGTAACTGAAAGTCTCAAGATTTAATGGCTTCATCACTGCTAAGGGACAGGGATGGGGGCAGTGATGGTGGCCGCTTCAGAGATCAGGGGGATCGCAGCAGCCGGGACACACAGGTAGGGAACTTGTTGATTCCTCCTTCTAGATGCATGAACACAAAGAAGGTACATGTGCCTTCCCCTTCCAGTGTCCAGGAAGTGCTGCTAACTCACCACACAGCACATGCACCTGAGGAGTAGTCTACAATATAAAGCCTTTCCTAGTGCTCTTGTATTTGTGTAGATGTCCAGCTAGAAAGTGTGAAATCGGGTGCTATGTGTCTTACAGCAACACTGGATTGAGGTATCACTTAGGAAGATGGTAAAAGTTAAAGTGATAGAGATGTATATATACGATGGAATTAAAATCGTCTAATATTCTCTTTGATTATCACGAGACCCCAATGGAAAAGCATATATTCTAGCTCATTTTTTTTTCATGATTCATTTTCAAATCTGAATATCACTATGAAGTTCGTTAACAATTCAGACTGGTATGCCATCAAGAGGGCAAAGTTTCTTCAAAATGAAACGAGGACTATTCAAAACGAAAGTGACTCAAGAAAAGTTGTACACCTCAAAGTGAATGATATGCAAATCAAATTCCACTAAAGTTGTTTCCTCTGTCAAAAGGATACAAATTATACAAAAACTTAATTCAAACAACAAAATTAGTAATTTTGCTATAAAGAAGGCAAAAGTTATGGAGTTGGTAGTGATTTGTTTATATTTCACCACTCATCCATATTTTGTTGACCCCACTGAACATCCAGGCTGTGCAATTACAGTTTAAATCCAATCATCCTTGATACTCATCAATGGAGTTGAACAAAAACCCTAACTGTGCTCATCTTGTTTGACATTTTAGTTATAGAGAGATGTTTATCATAGTGTGAGGCAGACCATATTGATGATAGCTTGTTTGCTTAATTATATAACCCATAACTAGTTAGCCTATGGAATCTCAGCCTCCATCTGTACCTCTATCCGAGCCCTACAAGCATCAGATGGGGACCATTGCAAAGGTGCCGAGAAACACCTAAGAGGACTTGTTCAGTTTCCCAATGTAGCTAATTGAGACAATGCTTACTATTGAATAAGACTTTTCCTTGTAAGAAAAAAAAAAATGTTCTTCAGATTGATCTTTTCAAAACAAATCTCCTATTCTGTCTGTCTCCCGGTCCTCAACTCGAAAGAGTCACTGGCTTCCTACTCTTCTTGGGTGGTCTGGCCCCACCCATTTCACCAACCTCTTCTCACTTTCCACAACCTCCTCACTCCTTTCACACCCTCCCTGTTTGTAGGCTTGCACGCACTCTCTGCTTCCCTGGAATGATCCTCCTTTCTTCTGTTTACCTTTGCTTTTGGCCTGGCCTGGCCTCCTGGACAAGGTCAAGTCCCCATATTCTGGGGCCCATGGTTATCATGAGCTTCTCTTTATAACACCTGTTCTAGCTACACTTTTGCATCATTCTCTGCTTAACATCTGTCTTACTATCAGCCTACTTGTTTCATAAGGGACCGGGACTATGATATGGTGCTTTATGAAAATAAAATAATTTGGCCTTTGTCCTCATTTCTGGCATAGAACTACTAAAACTCTTGAAATTTCCTAAAGGCTGGGAGCAATAAAGCTGTCTCTTTAAGTTAATAAGGTGAGTTTTAGAAAGCAATTAAAGATGGTTTTGTCAGTGGAGCCAAACCTGTGACTGAGAACTGGGACTTCCAGTCCACAACCAGACCACTGGGGAGGGGAGAGAGGCTGGACATTGAGCTCCGCTACCAAGAGTCAACTAAGTCCAATCAGCTAAGCTATGTAACAAACCTCCATAAAACCTCCATAAACAGGGTTTAGAAGGCCTCTGCATTGGTGAACATGTGATTTAGGGAGTGTGACCACCTAGAGGGGGCATGGAGGATTTGTGCCCTCTCTAGATATTGTGACCTATGCATTCTGGCTATTCCTAAAATTATATCCTCTTGTAATAAACTAATATTTGCTAATTTTTTGAATTGCGCAGCCAATTACTCATACAAAGGAGGGGGGTCTTGGGAAGCTTTAATTTATTACCTTTTGGTCAGAAACACATGGTGGGCAGGCACCACTATGTCCAGATAGACAGTTTCAGGACTGAGTCTGACACACCCAGCTGGTGTCCAGAGACTGTTGTAAGTATGGGAACTCCAGCTACACAGTGGGAATTAGTATCAGAGTCACTTTAGGGTCATGTTTGCTTTCACTCACAGTCTTCCTCTTGGGTCAGATAAAATGCCTAACTACTGGCACCTGCTTAATACAATTTTTAATTAATTTTCTGAACTGTGGCAAAACACAAAAATTACCATTTTAATCATTTTTAAGTATACAGTTCAATTGCATTAAGTACATTCATACTGATGTGCAATTATTTTCCAGAACTCTTTTTGCAAAATTGAAGCTCTGTGCCCATTAAACACCTTCCTACCATTCCCCAACCCCTGGCAACCACCATTCAACTCAATCTCTTACATCAGGTACATCAGTGAAAAATAAATAAGATCATGTAAGTATAAGTATAGTATTTGTGACTGATTTATTCCACTTAGCATAATATCTTCCACATTCATCTCTACTGTAGCGTGTGATGTCTTTTTTAAGACAAAATAATATTCCAGTTATTTTTGAACACAGGACAGTGATAATTCGCCTGTCTCAACTACATGGTTATCCACAACATAGGAAAATAAGTTGGGTCATCCTCTCTCACATGGCCAGTGCGCCATGTGAGTGGCAACCACTTCAAAAACAGCAGCACAGCCACACAACTTGGCCAAGAAGGAACATCATCCTGATTCTCTGTGCTGTTTTCACTCCCATTAAGGGGAATATTAGAATAGTCACCATGTGACAGGTGCAAAATACAATCTATCACCTTAAATCCTCACAAGCACCCTATGAGATGTATACTATTATCATCATCTTTATTTTACAGATGAGAAACCTGCTGCTCACATTGGCTACGGAACCTCTGCAAAGTCACACAGTTAGCAAGAAAGTTGCTGAATTTGGTCATGACCAAAAGGATTTACTGGTCAGATAAAGATTAATCTGAAGTTCATGGTCACACACTGAACTCGAAGCCCCAGCAGAACCACCATCTTACAGGTTTTATCAGCACAACAAATTATATTACAATGTGTGGTTTTGATGAGTAACAAATGTCCACTCTGTTTCCTTTTTTTACTTCTTAGTGAGGATGTTAACCTTTGATTCACAGGGAGGGAGAAGTCTTTTGGTTAGAAAGTGAAACTTGGTGTTGGTTTACCAAGGGATTCAATCAGATGAGACAAAGGAGGGTGAGAGGGGGATAGTGAGGGAGGAGTCCACAGCCCAGAAGGATTTCAGCTCCTAGACCCAATGCTGTTAAAATATTCAGCAGGGAAAGAAAGAAAAGCACAATTCTATCCCTAGATGCTGTTCTAAATACAAATAAGGGGAATAGCTCTTTACCATTTAGGTTTCACTTCACTGTTTTCATATTTAGAAAAAAATAATACAATGATTATGCATTATTTAAACTTGCCCTATCATTAAGGACGTGCGATATGTGGGAGCCCTGGCTAGTCATCATCCTACTGCAACTGTCTTTGGTAATAAAAGTTGAGGCAAACTATGGGTAAGACACTATGGCTGGTAATGTAACAGGGTGGTCCCCAGGAAAAGAGGAAGTTCCAGGTTCCCTGCCCAACCCACAAGAAGAGTGGAGCTGAGCAGAGAAAAGCAGAGAAGAGAAGGAATCTGAGGAGGAAGGAAGCAGGATGGAGAGCCAGAAGGAGACCTGAGGAAGCCACATGGAGAAAAGGGAGCTGTGTGAAGAAACTGTGCTTGTTTCTTGGCCCTGTACTGGTTGAAAGAGATGTGGGTGAAAGACCTGTGGGGTTTATATTGATTTTGATTGTGCTCTTTTCCTCCCAGACTTGTCTGGGCCATTTATGACCCTTTTCTATGGGTCCCGGCCAGAAGGTGCTTTAGTCTTGTGGTGGCTTTCTGGCCTTGCTTTGGGTCAATCCCTTTTGGGTGGACTTTTAGCCATGAGGGGGTGGGTAACTGTAGGTGTTTGAGTTAGAAATGATATTCTTTGTCTTCTGTATTGTAAACTCATTGTATTAAAGTTCCTTTTCATTAAAGTCTTAAATATTTTGTCTTGATGTGGTGGATGGCAGAACCTATTGAGAGCAGGAAGGTTTGGGGGTTCAGTGGTGCCCTTCTCCCCCTGCCCTGTAACAGTAACAGATTCTCCAGAAGATGCAATGTCCTCTTCTCTGTCTTGTGGAAAACTGCTTTTCATAAAAGGTTGGTACCCTACATCTCCCACTGTAAACTCTGCTTGAATCTTTTGTATCCTTTTCTGTCCCTGAATGTGAGTCGTTTCCTTTTCCAGAGTAGACATTCAGTGAGCCAGTAAATTGAACATACAGAGCTCGCCACTCTGGCATAGTTGGTCTACCTGAAGTTAAAACTCACCTCTGCTAGCATCCAGCTTTGTGTGGGCAAAGGATATGAGTCTTGGACCTTGCAGAGCTGAGGGCTTTCTAAAGTATGCTTGGTCCTTACATTCACTCAACCAGTATTTCCCAAAACTCCTTCACTT